GTAGGTGAACTTCCTGAAGGTACGCTTCTTCTTTTGCTCAACGTCCGCCTGGAAGAAAAGGAGAAAATAAGCCAGTTAAAACCACCACCAACCAGGCAGCACAGCAGAGAGACGGCTCCAGCATTCACCCAGCCTCCATCGGCATGAAGCAAACGCTTATAGCCTTCAGAAGACGGGTAACATCTACCCACAAGGTTTTCATGCTACATACTGAATTATCACCCAGACCTTAACAGTGAAAGGCTGTAGGCCTTGACTGCCATTATCCGTCACTGCGATCCGTTCATTCATCTAAAGCCAGGCGAAGTTAATACAGACAAGAAAATTCCTAACCACGCATGTATCACTACAGGAAGACCAGCTACAGGCCAATCCCTTTTCAAGCGGGACACGAAATCCTCACACAGTACTGCGAAACTCGCTACAATGAGGAAAATCATTCAGTGGCGGATGGAACGATTGATATAGCGTGTCAGGCTTTTAAACGTCGTTGTTTTTACACAGACTCCGACAGTAAGGACACGTCAACCCAGACAGAAGTCACAGCAAGTTCCGTTAATATGAAACACAGGAGCGAAGCGATTGAGACACTTCGATCGAGCTAGTCCTGCGACTTTTATTATATGCGAAAACGTTAACATGTAACAAGTCCAGAACGATTAAGTACAATATCTACGGTTCACGACTGCATTTCATGGGTGTGCGCTCAGCGGCATGCAATTTTGAACAGGGTAAGTACTACATGGGTTGCCTCACATAAGCGTCCACAAAAACGTAAACTCTTGCGTTCTCCGAGCAAATAACTGGATACGCAGCGCTCAGACACTACAGCCCTTCTATTATCAATAGATAAAGGTAGTAGTGGTGTTTATTGTATTACGATGGCTCCGGATTACAGCAATATATTAAAGCAAGACAACAAAACAGCACCCACCATCTTGTCAGAGTCTCTCCGGAAAGGACAGATCTCGTTCTCGTGCAGCTTATTATCGCGGGATTCTCGACGACTTCCGCTGGCGCTGCGGAAAACTACATCCGGCTGGGGTTTGCACTAGTAACACTAGTTTTCACTGAAGCATTCGTTAGTTCCCACTTGTTTTGGACAGGCTTGCAAAACTTTATCGTCTAGCATAAAAATGTGCATGTTAGATTGAAAGGTGTTTGATATTATGTTATACTTTTTAACATGTAGTGTGCAAAAATAATACTTATGATAAACCGGTTTATAATACTGGGTAGACACATTCACCAATAAAAATGTGTAAAGTTTTAATTTGTGTCACGATTTCTCCCTGGCAGCGTATTGTTTCATGATTTTTGTTCACTTGTCTTTTATGATACCTTTTCTCCGTTAGTTGATGTTCAATAAAAGTTTGACAATTTTTTTTTATCTTGATACACGACTATAAAACGTCATGCACAAAGCTGGAGTCGTACATCTGGGAGGAAATAGATGTTAACGTTGTCTCTGGGTTTAATTACCATCTTAATGATATAATTTAATAACATTTCTGCAACCTGCCTAAGGTTTTTTTGATGATATTCATTCATTTTATTGTGAAGTCGAGACAGGACATGGAATGGGAGGATACGTGAAAAACGTGCTGCTACTGTAGTGTACGCATGGTTCATCTACAAGCATGAAAAACAAGGAAAACTGGCCTCAGGATATCCTACTGTTTCCAGTGTGCTGAGCATTTCTGTATATGTACTTGTATATGTACTGTATGTGTATATGTACAATTAGTGATTGTGCAATTGTACTTTTAAAATTGCAAACATAAAAGTGAAATCTGGTTGAATACACTTTTTGATGGATTTCTAAAACAGCAAAAAAATGTTCCAACAGGAAAATTAGGAATTCAATATGGACACTGGCTTTCTGACCTGTATACATATTAAGTAGAAGCTTCATTTGCTGTCAAAAGTTCCCAGATTATTCAAGACAAAATAACAATAGTCTTGCACAATTCTCTGGGAAATTTAGGAACCAGAAGCAGTGCAATATGGGAGAATCTTTGACTATTTTACAGCACACACACAGAACTACCCAGAATGCACCATGATAAATGTTTTAACAACAGTCCAACTGTTCTGGGCCTTTAATAACGTTTACTCCTACACTACAGCACCATCTGCGGCAGGGAAGTTCATGTAATGGGACATTTACCTTTCTCCTTAGGTCTGGAACAATATGTTTTCAGAAAAAAAGAAATTGGTTTGTTTCAACTGATGGAGTGACGGCAATGTTCAAAGATTACAGAAGACTCATTTTTTTTAAAACATTTTTATTTGAAATGGGATTCTTTCACTTAAGTGCAAAATGCACTAAAACCACCTGAGGGAATTCTACAACTTTAAATTAAAAAACAAGCAAAGCGTACATAGTACAAAATTCTTTTAAAAAATTGCACAGTCTGTTTAAATGTATTTATATATTTTTTCTTAAATGTTATGCTTTACAATTCAGAAAAGAAACAAAATCACAACATGAAAAATAAAACCTGAATATTTTTTTAATTAAAGCTGAAATAGAGACTGGAGACCCTGTTAACATCTGTGTATCCGGAATACTCAAGTATTGTCTCATCTTGTGCTGATGGTTGACAGTCAGTCAGATCTATTCCAAAGAAAAAACTGTCCTCCATTAAAAAATCTTTTAAAGATCCTTTTTTCGTTCTTTTAGGTTGTTTTTTTCTTTTCCTTAGATTTTGTTCCATCAAGTATTTATGTGATTGTCACAAATAAAGTCCTCGAATTCAGAATCCCTGGTTATAGAAGATATACACCAGAAATCCAGTCGTGAGCAGAATAGATTCCCTGACATTAGATAGACACTGTGTGGTTGGTGTGCCCTCTGTCAGCGTCGATACGGGTGGAAGCCCTGTACATTGTGGTTCTGCCCGCGCCCAAAGCTGTTTCCTGCCGGCTGGGGGCCTGCAGAGGGCTGTGCAGATGGAGCCCCATAGGTAGGTGCTTGCTGGCTGGGATCTGCGAAGCTCTGCCCAAATCCACCCATGTCCTGCCCATAGGCTGCTTTGTATATAAAAAAACAGAATACACACTTTAGACTTCAAGTTCCCATGACTCCCACAGTCCAGAACAGTGCGAGATAGCTTGACATATCTGGGTGGTCAAGGTATCAATGTAAAATTCCTCAGATTTTACCCTCCACTATGCAATGATTGAGTACCATGAAAATTTCCAAACACATAAGAATATGCAAAACTAGAAAGTAAAGATGAATTAAAGGTTCACTGTTAGCCACTGGTGAATGTTTCAATAAACACAGTAATCTGAATAAGATGGGGGGGGGGGAAGGGCTTGAGATGGCCAGGATCTTGGTATGTAGTGACATCAGGGACAGGTGAATCAGTCTTGTATTCAGTATCGACTCTGCTCACTCAAGTAGATCGACATATTGTCACCTGGTTAATTAACGTGGTGCTCCGTGTTTTTAGCAAGCTCTGAGGAATGATATTAAGGTTAGCGGATGCAATGCTGTGTATTTAAAAGAAAAGCCACTCTTCAAGTAATTTCTCAGAAATGATGTTATTTTCCCACATGGCCTCAGGCCTTCCCCCTCCAACTGCAACAAACAAACGGACAAGATGATAATCTTCATATGAATACATGAACATTCCATTTAGAGTTTGCTACTTTTGTTCTTAATGTAAAAATGTAAGAGTCAACAGATTTGACATTTTTAAAACATACTTTTGAGTCAAAAGCTAGAGAACCATTTCATAGCAATAATCAACAAGGGTTATGATACAGCTTACTACTCAATAAATGTATAAATCATGCCACATGTACACATTTTGTAATGACAGTCTAATATCTGATTTGTAAGCGATCCTAGTAAATTCATATAACAGATAACAGAATTATTATTATTAATTGAGGGCACATAATGTCTGCTGTTTAAGAAACTTTCATGACTTTCTTGCGTCTCCTACATTTCACTCAAGTGTGAGATAACCCATTTCCAATCCACTGGGGAAAGAAACTGATCTGGGCTCCAGCATCCTGAAGTATTTTGGTATGGAAGAAAACTGAACCTACTTTTGTAGATCAGAATTTTCTTCTAAAAAGGCAAATACAGAAAAATTAGTAACTAAAAACATCCTCAAGCTTGTTCCAAAAAGGGGATTTGTGGGACTTTGAACATATTAAGAATGTGGTTTCATACATTTAGCATTCAGAGATCACCCTTGACTTTCATTGGGAACCAATCTAAACGTACAGATACCTACTGAATATGCATCTGTAAAAACCGATAAAACTACCATCATGTTGCAATTTGATCCATATCAGGTTTTACAAGAAATAAACCTTCCCATACCTGTTCCAATGTGTACAATATATTACAAGAGATTTTCAATTCTGTGTAAACAGCAGGGCAAACTTACCGAAAAAATGTCAATAAGCTGGGCTCCTGAGTGACTTAATCAATAAATGTAGTCAATATATGGCCCAGAGATTTCTAACACAAGTCTGGGTCATGTCACTAGCCAGCTTTGGATAGGAATAAATAAAAATTGCAATAAAAGCAAATAAATTAAAATAAAGGAACAGATGAATGAAAAATGGAAGAGGCCACAGGTAAACAAGCATACATTCATAACAATTAGATCATCCTTTTACCAGCAAAGAATTGATTTAGGAAGAATACAGAAAGACACTAGACAAAGGTTCCAAGATGCATAGGCATCAGTCAACGTGTTTGTATATTAAACTACAGCTATTTTATAAGAGGTGGAATCATACAGTTCAGATTTCTGCTTTGAGATTCTCACCATGTATGAAAGAGGTTCAGCACACAGAACTGACTGTTTCCTGAGATCAGGGATTCAGTACAATACTGCCATTATTATTATTAATTTGCTTAGCAGGTGCCCTGTGTTCATAGTTCATACTTACATAGTTCATAGTTCATACTTAGAACCAAAAGAAACTAGAACTGACTTTCAAAGTCTTTTCACACCTGGTGAGACTCTTCACTGATCTTTGAAGAGAATTTAAGAGCTACTCCCTATCTTACTCTACAATTTCTATTACAGTACACAACACCACTTAGTATTAGATAGCTGTATTTTAGTATACTTCCAAAAATATACATACAAGAGTCAATTCAGGAAAATAATGTTCGGGGAACAGCTTATACAAACAAAAACAAAGAGAATGACTTAAAGGACAATCAGCTAAAACGGTTTCCCATTTCTACCACTATCGGCTACTTTGTGGTGTGAAAGGTAATACTCCACCTACCTGCACTATATCCCTGCTCAGCCTGACCATAACTGTGAGAAGGACGCGTTGGTCCGTAGCCAGAAGGGTCCTGAGGATAGTTACCCAAGCCTATTAGGGAGATGAGGAGACCAGGATGACTAAACCCAAGAGAGCCTATCTTACATTGCTAATAGGGAGGGCGTCCCATTCATAACCCAGGCCTCTGTCGTAGCTCCTGTTCCTGCCTAAACCTACTGCTTTTTCATACTGCCCAGTTACTCAGCTGAAACTCCAGACTTCGGTGATCAGTATTCCAAAGAAATAAATGATCGACTGGACGAAAAGGGAAATGGCTCTTGTTGTGCTTACTGTCCTAGAAGACAAAAGAATGCTTAAAGTAATTGTAAGTATTGTCCTTTTAAGTAATACCACAAAAAAATGTGAAATATTTAAATTTTACAAATTAATTGTAGTGGTCTGTAATTTGTCTCTGTAAGCAACATTAATAACACATTCATGATATTAATGATATGTTGTGATGTATTCTATCATACTAAGGGAATTATCAGGACTGTCAATGTGCAATAAGAATTGATGTAAACTGAACGTCTGTTGCCATGTTTAACATCTAGTATGACTCAGAAAAAATATTTTGAAAAATAAAAGGTGGCAAATTAAAGACTAAGAACTAGAATACAAAATGGAACAGAAGGTTCCAAAAAAACTACACTTTATCTTAAGTTGTAGCTACATAGTGCTCAGATAGATCACAGCAATACCTACCAACTAAGTTCCAATTTAGGATTCCACCATGCATCCACAGAAACACCGACTGGTAAGCATGTTTTCATTTTCACAGTATATTTTGCAACTCTGTGGAGTCCCCACAGCTGGTGGAAATGCTGTCTGTCACAGGCATATACATGACTGCGTCACAATCAAGTACCTGCTGTGAACACTAGTAAAGACAGCGCGTTAAAGTCTCCAGAGGATTCGATATGTGAAAATGACTTCAGACGTGAATAACAGATGGAAAGCACAGGTGTACATGAGCTAATTGAGACCAAATATTTTTTATTATATTGATGGTTTTACAAAAATTACAAAAAAATGTGGAAGTTGATGACTTGTGCATAAAGATCATCCTTTGCTGTGTATAATGAACAACTGCACAGCCTGACATGTTTAGCCGCCTTGATCCACTATGTAATTAACTTGCAACTACAGTCCTGGGAACAATTTAGATTAGTAGATGGGTCTGTGGGTGAAAGCTAGTCCAGAAAAAGTATTTCCTGTATTTACAAACCATGCCTTAATATATAATGTTGACAGGGAAAAAGAATCACTCATTGATCTAGGTAAGGTTGTATCTGTCCACGAAACTTCTTAAATCTTTTTCTCACACATTTTGTGACAACAATAAGTTTAAGTTTGTTTATAAACCCTATAAGTAGTAACAATTGTTCACTTACGTCCATCATTCCATTTCTGAGGTGCATGGACACACTATATAAAAATCCTTACAAGCCTGGCTTATCTATGGGACACAATTTGTCAGCTCTCCACAACTTCTCTTACTTGTGCTACATTCACAGCACTGACACGGAAATGTCAACCAAAAACAGTGCTAGCAAGGATGATCTAATTCCACCTACCATTGGTTACCTGTCCATATCAGCCTCCCCAATGCACCTGGAAAATCCTGACAAGATTACATGTGTACCGAGCAGAAATGGGGACTGACCAGGAGGGGTTAAGTAATGGTTAAAGTCCTTTCAGATGCCCCTTGACTCCTCTGAAGCGCTTGCAGATTTGCAATATTATCACATTATGTATTTTGTCAATCTACAGGCAACGAAATAAAGCTGACACCTTTTGCTTTTAAAATTGCCTAAACAAGCCTAACAAAAGATGTTATCTATAAAAAAAAACTGTCTTGTACCAGTTACATTAGTGCTGTCACAGAAAAAAGAACAACAAACAAAAGATGAACATGGCATAACCAAAGGATCAGAGTTAAGTTAAAAAAGAAAAGGTCTTTGCACACAAGGAAATCTTACAGCACATAAAGGTGTACAGAATTCAAATTCTTTTAAAGTTTTGAAACGTTACAACTTCAAAATAAAATCTTAAAAATTCTGTTAGTTCCTAAGAGTTAAGAATCTGTTATTCTTAAGAAACCCACAGTTCCCCAATCTGCAGCTACTGCTCTGTATACTTATGCTGTTGTCTGTTTCATGGGGGAGTCTGACTAGAGGCAAAAAGATAATTAGCGTGTATTTTTCCAAGAGAAAATTACCAATGCAATATCATTGCATCAGTGATTTTATCAGTGTCTGGAGAGCTCTGAATAGATGTAATTGCATGTGAGGCAGGCTCTTGTACAGGGGGATACACACAGTGGAGACGAGAGCACTCTGAAACGCTTGTGCACTTTGCTGCCTGGGTGTACCTACCATATTGGCTGTAGGGGAAGTCGGGCTGTCCTGTTGGGGGTTTGCCCATGTCCTGAGTTGGGGTAGTTGCTGGGGCGAACCCCAGAGGTCCTCCTCCGGGGGTGGTTGGAGGTGGGGGCACTCCTTGTGGAGCAAACTGGTCACCTTGCGGGGTACCAAACCCATAACCTAAACAGGAAGGAGGAAAGTAGAGGACTGTAAACATATTTCATGGGGCTGGTGAGTGATCATGCAAATCATTTGTTTTCTTATTATTAGAGGAGTTCTATGGAGTAATCATTAAAAACTTGAGCAGATTTTATCTTTTTTTTTTTATCTGAGTTTACACACCAACTGTTAATTTTTGCCTGATCAGCATATTATGAAAGCAATTAGAACCTTATGTTATTCTGAAAGGCGCACATATTGGTACAACAAACATAGCCTATTTTTCTATGATGGAGTCACCATGGAAACATCTTTAGTAGCCTAATATGACCTGATTTAATTTATTCTAATGTTTTTTTTTTCTGGGATGAATCCAAATTTCTGCACCAGAATCAGTCCTATCAGAATTCTCACCCTTGCATGATACACTTACCGTATGGTCCTTGTAGTTCCTTCAACCATAAAACTTCATTAACAAAGCCAACGACGAAGTGATCTTGTAAGGAAATTGTTGACTGTATATATGTAACGACATAAAATGGAAGAATATACCAGAAGGACCACAGAGTGCGTCTTGGTACTTACCAAACTGAGGTGCAGTGCCGTAACCAGGCTGTGGGTATCCCTGAGGTGCTCCGAACCCCCCAGGAGGGGTGGTTGTTACCAGGAAAGCGTTAAAAGGCGAGGGGGGAGGTGGAGGGGCTCCTCGGCCAGCTGGAGGGGGAGGTGCATACCCGCCTAAAGTAGAAAAGACTGCAGTTTAAAATTACACAATAGTAACACAATGACAAATGGTAAATGCTGACATGCCATCTACATATACAAAGAAGATATTTCTACATTATTTGCAAAATCAGGTCTGTGATGGAGAACCAGTTGTGCCTACACTGTAATTATAGTTAAGTGTTACAGTGGATTCACTACACACTACAGCAAAAACTACAAAAATGAACAGTAAAAAGAATATAAGTTAAAAGCCCAGAGCGCAAGTGGTTTGTGTTGAAATTTAGGCATTACATTTAAAAAAAGATTTTCAGCTATACGAAGCACCGATATTTAAATATCTCCTTGTAATAGTAAATGGACCTGAATTGGAAGAAGCAGTTAGAAAATGGATGGATGGATTTATTATGGGATAATGATAAACAATTCACATCTCTGAATATTTTAGGCAATATAACAACTAGAATTAGATTGCAAATTCCCCTCTCACAGTTGAGAGCATGTTCTGTTGGCATTCCACATCTTGTGAACCGATGCTGTCCATCTGTTTTCTGTACCAAATTAGCTGACTGTTCATCCCTACTTCCAATGTTCTGATTAATGTTAATTTTAAAGACATTTTTATGATTAATGCACATCTTGGCCACAACAAACACCGCTGATGCTCGAGTTTGAATTTCGGCACAGACCTCCACCTTGTTTCTCTGCACCGGTAAGGTTCAGCACTAACAGTGCGTACAACAGAACGGCCTATCAGTCACGGTTAATTTTCAAATTCATGTTTTAAATTTACAATTAATTAGACACACTTCTATAAACAGAATTATTTAATTATGTATTACATCCCCACAGACTTCACACAAACACTATTCTTATATTTCATTTTTAAAAAGATGTAATACAAATACATTAAAATAAGCTTGTATTTCTCTTGCTCTTTAAGATTCCAGGGTTACAGCATCAAATCTGTGTTAAAATTAATTGTTTTTACAATGACCAAGTTACCTTTGTATGCTAATTTGTTAATTCACAGAATAAAAATCTTCAGTCTGACGTGTTTATTTCACTACCCTTGGGACTAAGTACAATAAGAAGGAGGAACTGAGAACAGGAAGCGTTTTTTTTACACAAAGGGTTGGAGAGCATCTTAAAATAGTTTATTGGGAACAAGCCACCCCACTATGGTGTTCATTTTTTAGAGAAATAATTGGATAGCATCCTTGAATTAACTAGTAACTAGCAAGTAAAAAAAGCTAGACAGGATGTGTAGCCTATTCTTTTTTGTATTTTTTTGTATTCTTTATTCCAGCTACAAGCCTTATGATGTTAACAAAATAATATGAAAGTACCATTTCTTAAACCTAAGAATAAACATGGTTGTCAAAATAGCTAAAAATAAATGTCATTACTTCATTGAAGTGCCTGTATCAAGTTTATACCGTATTTCACTTACAACAGTAACCCAGATGTGCAGAAAGTAACATAAGAGATTGGTTTCTTGAAATGATACCACTCTTGGGGTGGAAAAAAAATGTCTGTTTTTTTTATTTAATTTTAATGGAATGACTAATTGCTGGGGACCTACATTGATAAAGCATTTTTAAAGTTCATTTAAGAAAGATATTTCAAGAGCCAGCACCCTAAGACCACACAAATCTGGTATACAGAGGAGCACTATACTAAATGCACTAAGGAGGAATTTTATGAAGAGTATATTGTACAAGCCCTGAGTGAAATGTACCCAGGACCATTGGGTAAACTACTGTTACAGAAACATGGTATATTGGCCTCCTCGATTTAACCTCTCAACTGAAGTATAGGATCTCCTAGAGTAGCGTCCCTGATCACAACTATAGACTGGGCACTGTCTTGGAAATTCTGATCACCAATCACAGGACTGACTGCTATGTTCCAAGATGACTTACCTATTGGCTGGGCTGTGGACATCCACATTCCTAGAATAGTGGGGGTAAAATAAAAGAGAAGATTAACAAAATGTTAAAAATTGTTAAATGCTACATACACAAATGTTCCATAATAGGGCCTGTTGAAAGAGTTATGAATTGGCAAGAAAGTATCCTGCTCAGATGGTTGATTTTACAAGGCATCACATTAGCTTCCAGAAAATTTACACTGTATTTATTCAACGGACTGCATAATCACAGAAGGTAACCAAAAGCCACTATTTTAGGTATGCATGTATGATGTATGAGGTATGCAGTCCCTCGGTTATTAATATTTGACGACATATTGAAAGACCATTCATGGATTTGCATAAACCAAGAGTTTAATTTTAGATGTGTCCCTAAAAATCAAGTCCTCACACTATAAGCATACAGATTGTTCTAGGATTCCACAGAACTGATTTATAAATCAAGAAGTTTGCATCCAAAACTCAAAAACCTACTACTGTATGTGAGGATATTTTTATTGGAATTTTTATTTTAATTCTGATGACAGAAACCATGTCCTGCCGAATCTGGCTCTGTGCTGGATTTATCATCAGTTCAACAGTGTAATCCTAAGACATGCAGTCAGCGATCACCTGCTGTTTTTTAGACTGGATAACCACACCTGCCTGCTCATATGTAATTTATTCCTGCAGGAATCAATATTGTAGAAACTGCATATTATGAATATGGTTCAGATTTCCATTCTTTTAATACCATAAAAACCTAAATCAACATACTATTTTAAGTAAAAAAAGCAGGTATAAATTCACAGTTCCAAAATGTCAGTCTTGATACCTCAATGCATCCAACTATAATACAGAATGTAACGCAGCTTGTACCAATGCTCATCATTCTAATGTTATTCAAAGACAGTTTTTCAAAAAGAGGTCCAATAAATGCTGACGTTTAGCTCATGCCATCTACCACAGAGAATGTGTAATACAAAGGAATCATCCAAGCACGTGATGCAGGAGGGTCACCTGCTCGCTTTTCTCGCGCTGTGCTGGCTTGCACACAGATTGAAAGGTTGTCTGTATTGCCACTAATGATACGACGTCCCAGGCGTCACGTCCACCTCCACCACTCACCCTGAGGCCCATAGCCCTGCTGCCAGCCCTGAGCTGGCTGTGGGGACCAGCCATTGGCTGCACTCAGTATGCCTCTGGCTCCCCATTGGTTAGCACCTGGCTGCCCTGGGACTGGGGTTTTGCTGTCACGAGGCTCAGCCTTCTTCACCTCCACCTACAGAGAGGACAGGGAGAAAGCAATTGGCAAGAAGAGCCTTTCATTGCCTCAACCCCTTCCCAAAACCCAATTCACACCCGTAAGTAACATTACTCTTAACACTTTAAGCAAACTTAAAATTAAGTTTATATATTGTAACTTATTTGGGCCTCTAAATATAAGGGTATATAAATACATATACTGTTTATAGAGATCATTTTGTTGTTCAGATATGTTTCTCAGGTACTTAACAATTCACTTTAAAGTAAATTTTTAATTATTTTCTTTAAAGGATATATTAATGTAAAAAAAATGAAAAGTTAAAAAGTGTAAGTATGAGAAACCCCTGTATTAACCTTTTCATAAGTTCCACCAATACATCTACCTGAGAAACATAGGATTCTCTAATTTCTTGGTTTTTTGCCTTGGCCCTTGTTTTATACTGATAAAAACATCTAATGGAGGATCAAGACTTACCTTTCCCAGGCTAACGCTTAAAGAATCTCAATTTTATTTAACTTGGAATAGAATTTCAGAAGGGAATGGATGTGGTAAGAGAATCTTAACTTACATCTAACAGAAAAAAATAAACAAACATGCAGATAATACAAATGGACAAAGTTGTAAGTCAAATTAGAACAGAATCTTCATACTGTGTCAGCAGGAGGAAAGCAAAGAACTGCTCAAATACCTAACCCCCAATTTGATAAAGAGCAACTTTTCCATTTGACCTAAAATGATTCTGCACCGAAATGAAAACAAGATTAATTTCTTGGCCTTTGAGAGTACACGGGTTGTTTTTTTAAGTGCTCCTTCTTTCTTAATAGAAAACATAATGAAACTGGGCTGATAATGAAAAAGGAGAGACCCCATGGGAACTGTGAACATTATCAATCCACAGATTTTATTAACTAGAGCCTAAGCTAAAGCAAAATAGGACCCATCTAATCAAATAGGACAGTAAAATTAATGAGACTTAGCAGTGCCTCAAGCAAGCAGACGGCAGAATCAGTCCTGTTCCACTTTATAGTGCTTTAAAAACCTACGTGGTGAAGTAGTTTCTCAAGTCAATCTATCAAAAAATAAATTTGCTAAAATGCTAACAAGAATGAGAACTGCATTTATTACATCTACCTTAACATTTTTTGTACACTGGATTTTCATCTATGAGTCACTCTGACCAACACTTGTTTGCCCCCTACTGTCATCACGAAGTCAACTGTGAAGTTCTAACAAGCAACAACTTGCCAAGTTTCAAAATAGGAACAACTGGGGGGGAAAAAATGAAGAAAAGGAACCAAATTACACACTGAAAAAAACACCTAGAGCTGATATCTGATAAGGAAACTGTGAAGAGCTTAACTAAAAAAAATAAAACTACCAGCAACGAGGAATCAAAAGGTGGAGTTACTGGGATTTTCTTCAACAACGGGGGAAAAAAATACTTTGAAAATGGTTTGAAATCATTTTTCCCCCCTCCTACTATTTTAAATGACATTTGCCCCCCCTACAGACCTAATTAGCTACACATGCTTCAGCACAGGCCTCCCTTCCTCGGCACAACGGCATGGGCTTTAGTCCCAGAGGCACTGTCGAAGTCGAGTGATGGATTCTAGGACTTAGGAGGGGGCAGGTGTGGGCCTCTCCTATCAGAGCTGGGATTTAGGACACCATCCGTTCTGCTCCAGTTTCTAATTTTATAACTTCTTTTTGAGTCCCTGCTCGAGGTAATGTCAGAAAAAGAACAATGGCTTATGTAGGGCTTTGATTCACCGAAGAGAGAGGACACTACCAAGGAGACTGCAGTGGAAAGAGAAAAAAGGAGACTGGAAAAAGACACAATCGAGGCATAGTTTGCTATGGTCAACAAGAAAAGATCTTCTTCTGTAAAAAGTTCAAGGTGCTAAGAAAGAATTATACAAGCACGGTAAAAACATTTCAATAAGAATTATATAATATCCACCCTTTCCATCATAAAGTTGCTTATTCCTTCCTATAAGGGTTATGGCAACATGGGAAACTCTAGACTTCTTCCCAGTCCAACACAGGGCACTAGGAACCAAACTTCAATACCTCTTACTTAAAAGGCTGCGACCTAGAAGCAATCTCTTTAAAACAAAATGTGGAGGGTATTAAAAAAAAGTGTATGGAAACTTTTATTACATCTTACTCACAATAGCCTCGCGAGATAATTACACACTTGTAAACGGACACCAGCCGAATAGACACTGAAGGCCAACTGAGAAGTAGAGCAGGGGTTTAGGACACAACGGACTCAGTCGTTAATCATTTCACACAGTGTGTATCAGTGCACACCAGGGGGAGGAGTCATACATTGAAAAGCAGTGCTGACACTATAGGGTTCTGGCTTAGAAGACCTAATTAACTTCAGGGTCCCTGCTGGGAAGCAGCACTACAAAAACAACCTGTCTCAGTAACCGAGTAAATGAAGATGAAATAAAAGACATGTGCAGTACTTTTGGACCCACATTTTCATATAAGATGGAACGCATTTGCTCTTATATCTAAATTGAATAACCACTATCTCTTAAAAAGATCCATTTTTCAATTAACATCAATATATCTAAATGAAAAAAAACTGAACTGTCACATTAGTCTGGTAACTCACTGAAAACCTACAGCCGATAGGTTACTATCCCACAAAATTGCTTAAAAAACCAAGAGAGAAAAAATAACCAATCCCCGCAATTTTTAGCACAGTTTGACACAGTATGGAGATTCCACATCTGAGGTCACTTAATTGAGGTTTTATTACAAAATAACATGTTAAATTCTACTAAGAACTCAAACAGTAAGTGACCTGGCAAAAATATAAAAATAAAAAGAGAAAAATGAAAAGAAAGAAAACAAAATAGCAACCAGTCCTTTAAGAGGCTTTAAAGAGGAAAAAGGTAAATGCGAAACTGTACATTTCTGAAATGAACTTTTTGCAAATAAAATTTCAATTTCTTTATGGTTTATAATTAGCAAATTGGTGCTATTCATGAACATCCTAAAGGAGTGGTTCTGTTAACCAAGCCTTGGGCGACTGCAGACGATTTACCTGGTTGTTTAAGAGTGAAAAAATAAAACTAGAAATTCAAAAAGTTACTTGTTACCACACCACCAGAAAGCTCATGAAAATTCATACTTCTTTACTTCAGTTCAACAGGACTGTAGAGTCTCCAATGCCCAAACAAAAATGACTAACTCAAAGATTACTTCTCTTCTGAAGTATGGAATGAAAACTACATTTCATACTGGCTTTGATTGGTTTCACTTATCTGTTTTAAACATAACAAGTCTTAAAAAAATGTTTCTTTTACAAAAAAAATCCTTTTGCATTAAATTGTGGAGAAATACACCCAAAGAGACACAAAACCAATCACTGTACCCATCAAAATATGCATGGGTACCAGACCCAGCTAAAACGCTAAGTCGCCCAAGCCTCAGTCTGATCTTAAGGGTAAAATAAAACTACAACTACACACTTTTTTGCCCATGATGTCGTGAAAATGCATGTTGACAGCCTGGTCCACTGATTGTTCGGCCTCGAAAGTAATAAATCCAAAACCTAGCCAACGACCAAGAGTGAATCAAGGTAGCAGGGTGTTGTGACAACACAGGATGAAGAACAGTATTGGGGCAGCCCAAGGGTTCCATCAAGACTGGCTGGCGGTGCCTGGGGTTCGGATAACGTTGCAGACCTCCAGCTCAAAACAGCTGACTGGCCAGGGCTGAGGGAACACCGGTCAGTGCTATACCCAGCTGTTCCAAATTTCACTCCAACATCTGTATTCAGACTGTGCACACTCCCCCACACCAGAGATCTCCAAATAGGAAAACAGATTGCTGTTTCATAAGTCTAGAAATTTTTGTTACATCGTAATGACTTTTCTTCCATGTTACAGATCGGTGCTCCACAACACATGAAAAAATAACTAATTTCTCTTGCACGACAGATCTCAGCCATAATTTTAAAGATGTTTTATATCTGTTAAATGGGTTACCTACCTTAACTCAATCACCTAAGGATTAATTAGTACATCATAGATAAAGCACATCAGTTCCTGTATGCCTGCATTTTAGAAATAAACCTGTCTGTTCTACTTTCAGCATTTGAAACATAAAGAGATGTTTTGCTCCAGTTGTAACTTTCCCAGATTTTATGAGGAACATTTTGACTACAGGTGTCTCCCTGGAATTTCCAGCTTTCCAATAGTTTTTTGTTTAAAATTCTTTTCATTTGAGAGAACTACCAAATATATTTGATATGATTAAGGGATTGTTGGTTTTATTATATGTCAGATAAACCATTTCTTCTTCTCAATTGTTGAGAGATAAGAAAGGGGATCTGCACATTGGGTTTAAGATTATGTGAATGTTGAATGAAATGATAAAAACTGCTAAAATACAAAGTTTTCAATTGACTTTCGTAAATAAGGTATTCCATGTGCACTAAATGGATTTAACGAATTCAGTAATGGAGCAACTGTTAAGAAGACTGAACAGGCAACAGACAAACCAACCTATAAGCATTAATTTCCCATACTGTCTCATCCGAACCCCACCTTGATTTTCCCCTTGGTATATTGCTTTACAGCAAGTGCGGACAGCAGCCATTGTTAATGCATCAAAAATTGTACAAACAATATCTAAAGCTTCCTCCAAGCTTTCCCAACATCTTTTCTTTTGGGCAAGCCAAGATAAGCCTATAAATGAAACATTAAGAGATTGCTTACAATAATGACACAAAGATATAGGCCAAAATTCTTTCCAATAACAGATTCCATTAAGAGAGCAATAATACATTTTACAGTTAAACAGAATGATTCCAACATTCAGAATATATGGTCTAGGGGGTGTAAACAATGTTCTGTAAAGACATACAGGGCATATTTTTGTAAAGAAGAGTGAGTTCATTATAATTGAGTTGCATGAAAAATTATTGTTCTGGATGATGTACGTTAATAGTGTGAGCTTTAATAAAATGAAAAGGTAAAATTTATAACCGGCAATGAGAGATAAAATTGCTGATCACAAAGGGAAATGTGCAGTCACAAGATTCATCATGGGTGCAGATTGCTGTGGAACTTAATGTCCTGTCATTTTTCTTCAGTTTTGCTAATCTCACACTGAATAATGCTTTTCCAGCTCAAGCTATCTGAGCTAGTTTATCTCAACCACTGAGGTTCCTAAATTAAGCTAAAAATCTCTAATCCATTTTATTAATTCATAACTAATTGATGTTGTTGAAGCCTTTATACAAAACAACTTATAATTGAGTCCACTTACATACTGTAGCTAGGCACGTTACTGAACCGATTCGAGTGAGGTATCTTGCTCAACAGTACAAGAGCAGTGTCTTACTTGGGATTTTAACTCGCAACCTTCCAATTACAAACCATTATGACTGCTTCCCACTTTAAGCAGTTCATATAGGAGAGAAATGAGTAATGTAGAGGTAATAAAATCTATAGAACTTTTTCCAGGAAAAACAAACAACTTGGTAATTTAAAACTAGTATTGCTTTTACATTTTAGCAATATCATATTCAAAGTGTTTCATTTTTTTTAAAGGGCTGTCAAATGTATAATCAATCACACCTTTCTCTAGACCTGAGCATAAACTTAAAAAATGTGATTACACAGAACTAAAAACACTATAGTCCCTAACAGGCTACACAATCCAACAACCAAATAACAAATAATGTTCTAGGACACATACATAACTTACACATCTTTCAATGCATTAAGTGCTTGGGCTGCTGTTTCACAGCCATGTGCCAAGAACACTATGTAACAATATTCATTCAGAGAGGAGGTTCTCCTAAGACATTTGTGTATCTGCAGGATAAGCTTCTATACCAAACTTTCCCTTAGGAGTCTGTATTTCTACAGTGTTGTCTGAACTGGGGAAATACATACAGTTTAACCTGACTATGTGAAAAGCGAAGAGACAAAGCCTGTGACCTTCCACTGTTGACATTAATGACAAGGGAAGTACAATAAGTAAATATTACTTGGGTACTTTGTACCCAAGGAGCCACTGGCTCCCATATCAGAAAGTGCAGTTGGAGTATCAAACTGTTTGGGTTCTAACTACAGAATTTGGGGGAGCCAAAGATTCTCGCATGGTTTTAGGAAGGAGGTCCAACTTTGCCGTTTTATAGGTAGGGGTCCACCTTGGGGAAAACAAATTGGCTAACGAGGGAGAGTTGTGGTTAACAGACCATGAAGCTTCCAAAGGGCCTTCTAACTTCAGGATGTCTCTTCTGGAATAAAAAGTCTGGCCACCACACACGGCATCTAAAACAGTATACACATGAAGGGACTAATCAAAAGGAGGCACGAAGTGCTTTAAGGTTTCCTGATCTGCAACAGTTTCAGTACACTTCATAACAAAGGACTTGTGAATTGAATCAGGTAGGAAGATAAGACTGCCACTAGCCAGTCGATTAACCACTATGGCACAGAGCAGTCCTCATCACAGGTTTCACTGCTATTTTTGTAATGTATAGCAATTCAGTAAAGCATGCAAATTACATGCCAAACAATAGCTTACTTTGAGATTATCATAACTGAAGAAAACACTTGCAATTTTTCATGACTACTGTGACTGTACAAATAAATAATGGATGTTATTCCTGGTTGCCTTAAAGGCCAGTGTTAATTCACTGAACATTTACCCTTGAGTCTTCGGTCCACAGCAACGAATTATAAGCTTCAGCTGTAGATATGGTAAACAAGACTCAAAAATGTGAACCAGTTTTATAAGATTTGGGATCTGTTGCAGGCGACAGAAGTACATAGTGAGAAGATCTTTGTGAACACTAGGGGGACTTAGCCTAATTTCAATTAGGAATCAGCAGGGAAAACTGGGGTTTGCAATTTCCAATATTATGTCAAAAAGTCCCCTGTTGCATGACACATACTAAAAATACTGTCTTCCCATACACCATGCATGATTTAAAAATGTTTAATTTAAATTTTATGTTCTTCTTTAAAATCTGGCATTTTTGGTCCATTTTAATGGGCATATTATGCACATAGAAAAGTGTAACATTAATAAAAAGACAAAGCTTTCTCATACTTTCTTGCACTAACCATTGGCAAGAGTAAGGTATGCAAGATAATTAATGCTCTACAGGTAATTTACTAACTTTTTAAAACATTAAAACAAATGTTACAAGAGATGATGAGACAGTATGTTTTGCCTTTTGTCATAAATGTTTAAGTTTAATTACTTCTAAATAGTTTGGACATGAAATTATTTATTTTGAACAAACCAGACTTATCCACACTTGTAATCTGAAAATCAATGTAATAAACAAAATTTCAGTTCTCTTTCCAGAACGTATATGTAGCTTTATGGCAATAGCTTAGAATTTTTTTTTAATTGCATTCAAATGTTTATTTTGTATCTTTAATGGGTTTATATTTACTTACATTGTTTAGTTCAAGAAGTAAAAAAGAACCTTCCAGAGTGGAAAAATTAAGATAAGTGTATAAAATAATAATAGTAAGAGATGACTTACTGGCAGCTTAACTTAATGTCTCATGTTTTTTCTTGCAAACCTTTTTATTAGATAAGTACTAAAAAAAAAAGACAAAAATTCCCTTTTTATTTTTAGGAGTGGTGTGAGATATAGGACAATTATAAAAGGTATGCTGTATCCTCAATAGGAGCCATAAAAAGACAAATACACTAAAATAAACTGCAGCAACTTTGTTTACACCCATAGACCCTATTGACTTTTCAGCCCATTTCTTATTTTGGAAGTGGCCTGTACCTCTGTAGTATAACTTAGTACACAATAACCTAGAGGAGAAAAGAAAAATCTAAAGAGAAACCGTTAATCACATTCAAACAATTAACAGGGAGAGAGAAAGAAAAGAGAAAGATAGAGAGGGCTTACTTACAAAAGCACTAAGTCTTTCATATGGAACACTTACATATGTAACTTAAAATGTCAAAGAGTATGTCTAAATTAAAATAAACAAATAAAACTTACATAATACTTAATGTAAATGAGATATTTATAAAATATATAAAATGCATCTATGTATAAACAATAATGAAATTATAGAGGTTTGATTACATCAGATCATTTCAAATGACAAACTATTCCTTTGTGTTTTTTTCCCCCAGAGAGATTAAAATATTGAACAGAAAATAAAGAGGTCACTGATGCTAAAAAGAATCATTAACTACTGCAAGAGCGTTATCTAGGACAAGTCCAGAGGACAGATAGATAGCTCGTCTAAGCTAATTGAAACCTTCAGTCAATTTATATTCTACATCTAAGCTGTCAAACAAATTCATAACAGAATCAATATCATAAAATGTCTTTGTTACTGTAAAGGGAAAAGGGGATCATGGGGTGCTGTTCAAATTCTGTGTATTTTATTTATGTCAATGGTTTTTATTTATGAGAATGATGTTGTACTGAAATAAGTATTGTACAATAAAAATATTGTAGGATTCCATCATCTGAGGTGCATTGATCATATTTAAATATGTACCAAAATACTTAACAGAGCATGTAACAATTTTCCAATGATGATTAGCTGACATAACCAAGTAAAAGATGCAATGCACTTGGCACAAGAATACTAGCGGGCATATTCGTTTTCAAAATGGCACAATATGGTTTCAAAAAGTGTTTAAAAGTAGGAAAGTCATTCAGGCATTCCTCTAAAATTATTAAAGATCAAGCACTATCTCACACTAACTGTATGAATCATACAGTGAATCTTCATGCCATATGAATGCCCAAGCATAAAGAAGAAAACTTCATAGCACTTTAAATGCTGAAGTGTCCTTTCTAGAAACATTACTCATGAAAACGGCCTTTTCATTGCAGTACACATGAATACAGTCACTGGATACTGAATGTGGCCTTACTCTTGGGGTCAGAATAGTTTGTCATGAGATTGTAGTTGGAGATGAAGTTATGAAGAAAAAAACTGGATCAGCTTTTACCTCGGGGCCTCTGCTTCTCCGCATCATAGATCATTACTACTTCAGTGACCTTAAAGAAAAGGCAAGGACAAATTATATTTATAATCAGCACGCCCAACAATTTTGCTGTTTTTTTTTCCTAGTACTAGCTCATACCCTTACTCGGTATCTATTATTTCAAAGAGCGCCTCTTAATACAGTTACCTACTGACAAACATGCCTGCTTTTTTCCCCACTATAGCCTTCTTTCAGAAATCCCAGTCATACAAAACAGGGCACTTTATGACTAATCGAGCCTGTTTGCACTCACCACTCCAAATCTACTGAAATAATCCCTGAGCTCAGGTTCGCCACAGTTGTGAGGGATACCGCCGACAAAGATCTTCTTTGATTTACTGCCGTCACTCTTGCTTCCCTTCTGCAAAGTGGAACATGAAAAGAATGAAATGACACAACGCAAGGTGGAAAACCGCAGGGCAGACTTGTGATGGGCCGGCTGCGGAGCCCTATAATGAGTCGAACAGACCAAGACAACTACAAAAACAGCTTCTTGCGGTTTTCAGTCTGCGGCATAATTACTTGCCAGTCACTTCGTTAGAACGGGCTGCAGCCACAGTTCTTACATTGGGTTGTTTTTTT